TACACTCTTTTAGCACCTTCAAATAAACATCTCTCAGTTGAAAACTACCATTTGTGCAGAATAAAAACAGGTCGACTTTGAAATACTTGAAAATTACCGTCCAACTTAAAATGGTCTGAAGAAGTTAGTTTCCACCGTTTTTCTTTTTTTTCAATACAATGTTTCTTTTTTTTCTCATGACTGACTTTCTACTAAATTTTTCACTATTATTTTATTTTTTCCCACATTTTTTATTTTTTTTTTGCATTTGACAGTTATAATTTAGTGGCGAATGTAGAAAGTTAAAAAGAAACAATCGCAAAGCAAGGCCGATCACTGCACAGGAAGCTGGGGACAGAATCCATGACGACACACAATCAGTTTCCTCTTCTCCCAGGGAGCAGGCAGTGCTCCTTCGTCCTTGGTGCTGGGAGAAAACCACAGAAGCAAATGAAAGAGGGGCGGCCTCCTCCTCCTCCTGTGCTGCTGCCACAATAGGAGTCAGTGGGTTTGACGGGAAGGTAGACATGGGGAGACGCCGGGGACGCAGCGAGGAGCAGAGCACTCAGGACAAGCGGGCAGGATTTGGATGGAAACAGGGCAGGGGTGGAATGAGCCAGAGGGGGAAAAGTCTGGTTTGGAGCGGGAGCTTCAGCTTGGCACAGGGGAGCAGGGTGGAGCAGGGACCGGCATCTTATTTTGAGAGGGTCCTCTCTGCCATGTGTTTCTGCTGGCTCTCAGCATGCCTGGAGAAGATAAAAGGAGCATATAGTCAATTATAGGAATAAAGGATAGGTTTTTATATGTTTCTTTATTATAACACATCTCTACAATGGGACTGAACCAAATGTGTTTTACTCCCACAAAAATGTGGTGTATGTTCAGCAAAAAAAAGTTCAAAATGAAATATCTCTTATAGCGCAATTAACTTTCATTGGCTCCTGTAAACAAACATAGTGAGCCCACTGTGTACTAGTAGACATTTTCCTTTATTACCATGTACAAAGAACCTCTAGGCTACTTTCTCTCCAAATACGACCCCTTGATTTACTGAACCTCCTCAGAAAATAGACACCGATATATGCACTATTTATTACTGTTTAAAGGGAAACTATCCTATACTAATCAAAGTGTGGGTACAGGTCTCGGCGATTAATATGACCAGAGGAAAACCTTATATTTAGACTTTTGAGGCCCCAATGCTGCTACTTTAAGTCCACAAATCGCCTCAGTTGATATCACTTCAGTCAGCACCAGTTTGGGCTTCTTCTGAATCGAAAAAATTCATCTTGGGAATTTGTTTCTTAGAACGCATGACAAGACCACCCAAACCCTCCTCTAATCACCTTTAATTCCGGCATGAACATACACATCTACACATTCATAGACATCTAGTTACACACATAAGCCACCCCTCTAATAAAGTGCTTCAGTGCATTATCACCTGGTGAGGTCCTCTATGTCGACCAGCATGGCATCCTGCTCCATGTGTAGTTCATCCCGAATCAGAAGCAACTGTACGAGCTCCTCATTCAGACCTGCAGAGGTGGATTATAGAAGAAATCATATAAATACAGAAGTATTGCTGTGACACGGCAGACATTTGTCCACATTGAATTTACAACAGGGAACTACTTTTAACACCACAAAACCGCAGTGTTCTTTTATATATTTAGATGTCAGACCAAATAAAGCTTGGTATGTTATCGCATTAAATCTCCCACCATTGCTTCATAATGTAATCTCATGAAGACATTTAAAGAAACCTGTTTCTGCGGTTGTTTTTCTTGTCACATGTTTTGGCCATTTAGCAGACAATATGATTCACTTCAATTTGAGTTCTTTAGGGGAGTTTTGGACTTTTAGTCTGTTTTGTAAGTCCATGACTTTGGACTCAAGGGGATTTTTGGAGCTATTGTATGTAAGAGTAGAGATTATTCATCCCTGAAAACCAGGGTCAAAGATCTAAACAGTGCAGTGACAGTAAACAGTCAGGGGAAGCTGTTAACTTCTTTGAACTGACTAACATATATAAAATCACTTTCACATTCACTGAGAAGGGGTCAGGTCAGTGTGCACGTTTTTCCCCATTCGCTGTCTTGCTCATTTCTGCTAATGAAAGTAGAGGTCAGTGATGCGTGTGTGTGTGTGGCTTTAAGTGCTGTATATATGCGTGGTCAACTCACTCTCAATCTGGGAATGAAGGTCATTGACTATAACCTGCAGCTGCCCCAGTGTCATGTCTCTCAGGTCTGTGGGCTTCAGGCTTCTTTTCATTAGACACTCGCTGATGTGAGGCATGTGTGGAAGCTGTGGAAAAAACACAGAGACACAGAAACATGTAAAAAAGCATCACATTTCCTTTAGCCGGAGGACAAAAAAATCTCATAGGAAGGTTAAAAACCAGGTTTACGACAGGTTTATAATTCCCTAAGAGACAATTGTGTCTAACTATTGAAATCTTGCCCCCTGCCAAAAAAAATATGTATAAAATTGTGATGTACCTATTTAAATCTAACAAAGTACCAAATAACTGATCAGCATTTAAATCAGAATTAATTTAATAATGTTAAACGTGTTCTGAAAAAAACAATCACAGAACATTATCAGCAAAACTTGTGATAATCAATCAAGCTCCCGTGAAGAACTTTTGGTTTGTGCTGATACAGTTCCCCCCGTAGACAGAGCCGCATATCTTTTCTCTTTGGGCAAAATATATAAACATCTATTCTATCTATCCACAGAGGGAAATTCAGCTGATAGGGTTGCCTACTGCTACCCTCCCGCCAAGCTTGAACATCTGTTTGTGTTGGTGCTCGGAGGTATCATCTGAGTTCTTTAAGGCACAGTATTTTTATCATTGCAATTGTTTTTTTTTTTTTTTAATTTTTCATGTATTTGTATATTTTTGTATTTGTTATTATTATCGTTGTCCTGAAGTCTATCCTTTTTTAACCTTAGTGTTTAGAGATACACCACTGGACCACTGAGAGGATGGAGGCACCAGGAGGGGCTAGAAAGCATATTCAAAACAAAGGGAAAGAAGAAAACTAGAATAACTGAGGAATGATAAAATAAAAAAGAACAAAAAAAAAAAAAAGGGTAATGGACTATATCAATTGTGTTCCAGTGTAGTGTGTTGTTGGGTTATGTATTGATGACAGTAGTATAAATAGTGCAGATCATGTTGTAGTAATAATAATGTAATTTGTCTGGATTGTTTGCTAGTGTATCATTTTAATTCTCATTATCTTGCTTTCTTCATCCCCCTCAACATACCACTAATATAATAATAATAATGACAGTACAAAATAAATAAATGAATAAATAAATAATAATAATAAAAAGAAATATATATATATATATATATATATATATAAAGCAAGAGAGAGAGAAACAAATAATAATAACATTGAATAATGATAAATAATAGAGATAATATCAATATTGGAAGCAATTGTTACAGGAGTGTACTGTAGTAATTATGATAATAATAGTAAAAAGAAAAAAAAACAGCAAAGGTTTGTTGGCACGGGGTGATAGCAGTAGTAATTATAATTATAAGAGAAACAGAAAATACATAAATAATGAATAAAACAAGGCAACCAAAGAAAAAAAGACAATCATCTGGATTGGAGAAAGAGAAAGAGAAAATAAATAAATAAAAGAAAAAGAAATGCATGAAAAATGAGAGTGGCTGTGATGAGAATTCATGATGATGAATATGATATGAATATAAGGGGGGGGAGAGGAAATAAATCAATAAATAGGTCATAATAAAATGGTGGCTAAAGACAATAATAATAATAATAGTAACAAAAAAAGATTATTTGATGGTAAGAGGAAAATAAATTCGTAAATAAGTTGTGATGTTATAGTCAATGACAGCGGCAAAGGAAAGAAAAGAAAGAATAAAGGCTGTGTGTCTTTGTGTATGTGTCTTTATGTGTGTGTATTTGTGTAAGTGTGTGTGTGTGTCTTTATGTGTGTGTATTTGTGTAAGTGTGTGTGTGTCTTTATGTGTGTGTGTGTATGTATTACACACACACACACACTAAGACACACGGCTAAGAGTTGTATAGGCTTTTTTTTGTTTGGAATAAGCCACAGTTCAAAGATTTATGGGTAAAGATTTACAAAGATTATTAATAGTGAAAAGAAATGCTAGTTGAAGATTTAATATGGTCACATTTCCCAACTGCACGAATAACTGCTTTTAAATTGATGCTTTTTATTTTGTTGATCACGCTGTTAAAAAAAAGTATTTCTTCTCATAATGAAATAAGGGAAACATTATTCTTTATTTGAGGTTTTCACTGCTTTGGTCACAAACTATGATTTACCTAAAACATAAACAGTAGGTGAGTTTAATATCGACAGTAAATTCAAACTTTCCAGCATATGCCAGTACTGCCTACACGTTAATGTCCACCACCGACTGGAGTAACATGATTCACTTGAAAATGTATCATCAATCAATTCAATCAATTTTTATTTGTATAGTGTCAACTCATAACAAGTGTTATCTCGAGTCATGTCAAACCTTTAATCTATTCTTCCTATGTCATGGGAACTTCTTAAATTCCCTTGTCTTTGTTATTCGGCAGAAAATTCCACAAACCTTGAGTAGTGAAAGAATCTATTATGTAAAGAGGAGCAATGCTGGAGAGAAATTACACACGATTTCCCTATGAGTAAAAATGAAAGGCTGACAAAGGCGTCAAGGAAGTTTTGAAGTTGCATTTGTGTCAAACATTGAGCAAAAGTTGTCCCAAAAAAGTCCTTCTGATTTTTATGAGTATCCCTTAACTAGCTGTGATGAGTAAATTTGGATTTCTCCAATGCTTCTGCTGGCTTTGGGTATGTGTGTTCATGTGACGCAGCAGTTTCTTCATGCGCTCAGAGTGTAACCACACCATGTGACTAAATGACAAGCAACATTCCCAATCCCATCAAAACCTGCATCTACATTCTTTCTGTCTCCCTCCTGCACCCATTTTTCTCTCCATCCCTCAAACAGTAGGTGAGAAAATGCTCTGCACACTTTCTCTTTCTCTCGCTGCATGAGCCACACTCTAAGCATTTGCGTGTGTCGGTGTCTTGCTGGCACCTCTTGCTACTTTATCACTCCTTCTTTTACTTTCACATTGGCTCTGCTGCAGCTCCACTGTGTCAGTTTCGGTTTCAGGCGAGGCGGTGCCTTCAGAGTGACATAGAGAGACATAGAGTGATGTCAAAGGCAGCGTGAGTGGGTGGCGGGAAAGGTTTGTACATCGGTGTTGGTCTGCTGACCGCAGTGTAAGTTTCTGTGGCAGATTGATCATGCTTCTCTCCCTTTCTCTCTCTCTCTGTGCTAATATTACTGTCAGATTGTTCAATAGAAACAAATAAACCTCCAGCCATGACTCAAAATCACACTTCAACTATGACAGAAAGAAGTGAGGTTTTACTTTAGAATCTAAATTTCTCCTTTTTTTTTTCTCTCTGACTTTTTTTTCGCTTTCCCTCAGTGCTTCTGTTTTTACAGATTTGAGGGGAAAAAAACACACTCCCTGTACACACACACAGACATTTGGATGCAGGCTTACAGGCTCAATTCCCATTCTGTGTCTTTGACAGGCGGGCGGGACAAAACAGTTTAGCTGGAGCAGCACTGTAACAGTTAGAGTTATTTTCTTATGGACCTTATTATTCTAATGCTTCTTACTTATCAGACAAACTTCCAAATGTGTTCACTTCATTCAATTTTTAAATTAATCATGCACAATCTTTCTTTGAATTGTAATTGTTAAAAGAGAAGGTGTAGAAGCTTGTTCTTTGAACAGCAAATCAAACCTTTATGGATGATTTTAGATAAACCATAAAACAATTTACTCTTAGGTTGCGTTTTTTTGTAATATTTTAATTGTAGTTATTTCAAATTTGTTTTCTCAAGATAAAGAAAAGCATTTTTTCTTAATAACAAAAGTCTTCTTTTATCCATTGAGCTTAAAGGTTAGACCAGTAACATCTGAAAAACCCATACCTGGACCAGCACAAAAATAGGGACGGCAGAAAATAAAGGAGGCTAAGGCATTTGACCTCAATGCAATAACTTGTTAATAAACGTATTTCGGTCAGCTCCAAAAGGTGAATGGATCCAGGCCGAGGATGCCAATGTTAGCCAGGAGGCTAGCGGTATCGCTTCTGATCTAATTCAACACCACACTTTCGATGCCTTGATCGATCACGGGCATTTCTTCATGAGCCATTTTCAACTCAAATCAGTTGCTACTGTTGTCAAGATGTCATCCATGCATACTTGCTCGGCACTCGTGATAATAAGAGGACATATCCAAATGCTTTGTTTTGTTTCTGTATGTGAAGCTCATCATAGGATAGACACCATGAAAACTGTTACTAGCACGTCTGTCCTTGCAACTTATTAAGTGCATGTAACTTCTAGCAGCTGAATAGATCTCTGGTGTTGTGGACATTGCGGTCGGCTGTAGCCTTAAACACATCTTAATATTCAGCGCGTGTTGGTCCGGATGTGACAGTGATGTCTTCTGACTGCTGAGCACTGCTACATCCCTAAACACTGAAGTCAATGCTTTCCGGCATATGAATTATAGATGGACCCGGCCGAGTTGCCCTTCTCTCCTCTGAATAAGTAAAGTGGCTCCTGCCTGTGAGTCTGCGCAGAAATGTAGTGTGTGTGTGTGTGTGTGTGTGTGTGTGTGTGTGTTAAAGTCTCACAGCGTGGGTGTGTGAATGTGACAGTGTGCGTGCTCCTGAGGAGGCAGTGAGGTGGATAAAAACAGATGAAATAATAATGAGCGGGGTCGTCATCAGCTTCCTTCCTCTAAATGAGGGCAGAGAAAGAGAAAATATACGCGGGGGGGAGGGGGGGGGGGGCTTCCTGTGAGGCTAAAAAGAAAGCATGTATATGACATGTTTATCTCATTCTCACTCGCATTTTACTTAAACACAGCCCACACATGTATTCTCCCATACTTTGACTAATGGACCAATCACTTATACCTTATCTATTAATATACTGAACTTCAATCTCATTCTCCTTTTATGGTGAAACTGTGACTCTCTGACTTGTTTCCATTAGACACAAGTTAGATTACTACAGCGTCAGAAACATTTCTAAAGAAAATGATGTTTTAAGTGCGTTAACAAGCACTTCAACAAAAGGATGTGTTTGAAGCTTTCAGTTTGGCTTTCAAGCTGTCATCAGGTGCTCGTAGAGGTGTTGGAAAACAACAAGGTGTGCCAGCTGAATGCTTAGTTGCACAAACAAAGATTATTACGATATAAGAGACCTACACTCTTTGATAAAAATATGTGGATATGTATGACACTAGGAATTGACCAGCGAGAAGAAGCCCTTGAAATTAACAATAATACTTAAAACCATCTGTCTTTTAAAAAAAATATATTGTTGGGCTATTTTTGTCATTTAATTGATATGATAGCTGAAGAGAGACAGGAAATGCAGTGAGGAAAGAGTGGGGGGACGACATGCAGCAAAGGACTGAGGTCTGATTCAATGCCATGGCCGTAGCCCTTGCACATGGGACGCACGACATAACCGCTAGGCGATCTGCGCTTTTTAGGGGAAACACTACGTTTACATGTACAGGACAAGGTTAGCAAAGAGGAAAGAGATATGGCTTTTTCCACAGTGGGAACAATATCAACAAAAAAAAAAAAAAAGTTCCTCACGGGAGCTTGACTGATAATCACAAGATTTGTTGATAATGTTAGGCTATCCCGACCCCCCCCTGAAAACCATCTCTGAGTCTATTTCTGGTCACTTTGATGGGCAGGTGGGAATAAAACAGCAGTCTCAAGCAGACAAGGAGCAGTACATAGCGTTCATTTGGAGTTGTATATCTGGCTACTGCGCCAGTGTAAGTCTAAAAGTGATATTCCTCTACCCAAACTGTGGGGGAAAAAATATGGCTGCTTAATGTTCCACTTTCCAAACAATCTTGTTGCTTACTTTGTACATCCGCCAATCGGTGTTGGGTTTTCTCTTAGCATTCTTTTCTTTATTTGAAGGAAACAGTTTCCTGTCTGCCAAAACAACACTTGCGTTAAGAGCTCAAAGTGTGGAAGCTAAAACTGAAAAGTTATGTGCCTTAACAACGAGTCGAACAAATTAGCTAAGAACGCATAGCAACGGTCTGCTGTTCCTCTATGAAATCCTTTCAAAATAATGAAAAACATTTCCAAATGTATTAAGTCAGCAGTCGTGTAACAGGCCGGATAATGTATAGTGAGTGGGTTGTTATCACAGGAGACCCCCTTCAGGGTGAGACAAGACTCCTCACTTCACGTTGGAGTCAAACGTACCCTGATAGAGTTCCATAACCAACCTGCTCACTAAACATGATCACTTATGGAATAACTTACACATAGGTCAGTAGACATGTGACCATTTTTTTTTCTAAAGCAGGAAAAGCAAAAGCTTAAAAAAGCGAATGTGCTTTGGCCTTTTTGGAGTAACTCAGCTCTTATATGTGAGGTGAATAGGTCTGTTGTTTCCACTGTAGCATTGTAGATTTGCATTTACATTTTATCAAAGGCAATTGGGAGTAGAAAGGTTGTCCGTATTGATGTAAACCGTCAGGGTTAAATGCAGCATAATCTGTATAATTCTTGAACTAACCAGGTCTGCCACTGGAGACTTCTTTCGATTCTGTTTCTCCACCTCCACCTGCATCTTGGCCATGGGCTTGGCCATAGCCAGAGCCAGCTTGGCCTCCGCCTGCAGCTTCTTCTGTCGACTCAGGAAGTCCATATCCTCCAGAGACTCCGAGTCGTCCTCAGTGGTGTCCCTGTCCGAGTAAGACGAACTCTGCTTGGACTGCAGGGAAGAAGAGGGAGAATAAGACAAGTGTGGCCAGAAGGGATACAATATGAGGAAGAGTGTGAGGAGAATATCAAATGAGGGAGCAAAGAATGTATAGTGTAGGTAAGAGAAAGGAAGGCGAGATAAGACAGGCTAGGTCAGAGGATTAATTTATTCTTGACATTTTCATGAGTAGATTTTGCACACTGACAGGGAGTGGAGCAGGGATGAACATGTAAAGAGGCGATCATTCTCTCTTTGTGTTAAATGTATCTCAGCCTGACGGAAGGTTAATGTAGCAACTCAACCATGACCACGGCGGGGTTTTTTTTCTTCCAATTCAACATCTTGTGTTCTGCGTATGAATTGATTAGCAGGCCTGACTAAACCTCTAGCCATGTGTCTGATTCATACTGAAAATGTTCCCCATTTCACCGCTTTCATTCTCAATTTTCACTTTCAAATCAGATCTTTACTCTTTCAAACTTTCATACCATCCATCCTATATCTCATGATCAAAATGTTGTCCTTTTCTTTTATTCTTGAATACTTAGGAAAAGGCTGTAATAAATCTGTGTGGGCTTCATTGCTCACCATGGGAGACAAAGGTGTGTCCAAACTGGTCTCTGTCTTGCTGTCGTCTGCATCACTGTCCTTGTCGCTGCCGCTGTCATTGACAAAACAGATCTGTAGGTTCATCCCACTCTGCAGCCTGCAGGGAGAGACAGAGATGGAGATAGATTCAAATCAGGGGAGACGTGTCAATATTAGCATAAAGGCAGATAAGAGTCAAGTCGGTTCAATGTTGGCTCATTCTGCTGTAATTGACTCGGACCAGCGCCAAAGCAGAGACCGAATGTACAGAGCACTGCTGTTAATACTAATGAACAGTGGTGAGTTCAACAAGGAAATGTGTTCAGTAAAGGATTCAGGATGCTGAACTACGTGTTAGAGATGCAACAAGTGCAAAAAAAAACAAAGAAAAATGGAAAGTAGATCCAAACAAATAGCTGATCTCATCGCCAGAGCACAGTCCCAGCTGAGGATTAAATGAAGGAGGGCTTGTGTTTTTAATTTTCTCTCCTCTCGTCTTCAACATGGATCGATCCAGGAAGCCTCAGGTGAGTCTGATCCAATCTGCCCCGAGACCCGAGTGTGGGTGTTTGTCCTTGCCATGGAAGAAAAGAATACCACTAGGTGTAGATACAACCCGCTTTGGATCAATAACCTGCTTATTAAATGCAGTAATTACACAGCAAGCTGATTGGATTCACAGCATAGATCCAATCAGTCCTGATTAAATATAGGACCTGAGCGGTCGATAGTTTTCCTTTTGGGAGAGGCCGAATCAGAGACCTCGCTATATGTTCAATTCAGTATCAGAGCGGCAGTGTAGTGCTTCTACTTTGCACAGCCTGAAAGAGTTTTCTGCCAATTTAAGCTTTATACAAATACATGAGCGTTATTATTGGTTATTATGTGCACTGAAGTACCACAATTTCAAAGAAAAAGTATGTATGTGTTTTTTTAACAAAAATGTCTCCATCAAATAGTTTAAAATAAAATTAGGTTAATATTTCACTTAATCATACTTATTTTGGACAAAATTCCTTACATTTGGAGTTGTTTAATTACTGGCATATCTACGGAAGCCCTAAGCAGACATGCAGCCATGCTACTTTTTTATTTTTTACCACATTTTCCCACGATAACATCTTCCTGAGATCTCAACTTATTTATCTCAAGCCCCTGAATCCCAAGTGTGGGCAATGGTAGCGTGGCATGTCGTGGCCTGGACTATCGCAGTGACCAGCCTTTCATTTGTTTTTTTCTAGATCGTTTGTCAGTGTCCATTTTATTAGGGGGAACAAAAAGTGTTTTCTCGGAATGAATTAATGGGAAAGCCAGCTTTATTTTATTTTTTATTTACGAGATAAGTGAGTGAAGATCTCGGGGCAAACACGTAGAAATTGCTAGTTATCAAAGGACTCAGCTTGACCCTTCAAAAAAGAAATCACAGAATCTTAAAAAAAAAATGGCGGCATGAAAAAAAGATAATAATACTGAACTAAATAACTTTTCAATACTCAACTACATATATGTGACAGCATCAGCTAGGGAGCTCTACCGAACAGTTTGTCTATGACTTTGCCAACACCTGACAAAACGTTTCTATATTTGCACCCTTTACGGTCGTCTTTCTATTTTCCTGTTACTATCAGTGAGGCATGAAGCATCACAACCAGTCACCAATGTGTTGCGATAACCACATGATTCTACCAACAGTAATACAAAGACCACATTAATGTTTACAGAGCATACTGTTCCAGGAAGGTTTAGTGTAGGAGGTGGTTAGTACTATGTGTGTGCGTGTGTGTGTTTATGCCCTATATGTGCCTTTTAGGAAGTGAGAGCCACAGAAGGCTGACTTTCATTCACGCAGCACTAACCCTCTCTGCTTCCCATCACTCTCTTCCTCCCTGTTTTTCTTTTCTTTACTGGTAGCCACGACTTGGCTTGGAATTTTAGATTCATTCCATTTCTTGTGTCTTAACCCTTGTATACACTTCTTTCATGTTACGTGAAGAATCCCCTTCTTCAGGGGAGTATGTGACCCTTAAAATGCCAACAAGGCAAAACCATTTGTTTTCCTTTTGCTTGTTGTTTTGTTAAAGACATCACATGATAAAGGTCAGAGTTTGTACCGTGAGGACAGGCTAGGTTTGCCGCTCTTGCTGCAGCTGGTGTAGATGCCGGGTCCATCGTCAAAGAAACTGCCCAGGGCCAACTTCTGCCTGATAGACTCCCTCTCATTCTTTTGGGCCTGAAACAGAAGATAAACAAGGTAAGGTGAGGTTAACTTTTTGTGATCCTATTGATGACTCATTTTGGAGTTGATCCAAGGTCAGGCTCAGGCTGGTAGGGATTTGGGGTCTTCATCAGGGTGGATGCTTGTTGCCATAGCACCTGAAACCCCAAAACGTATATATATATAGTTCCCTGTCATGCTACATCACCCTCTTTCCCTCTCATGTGACTGTCTGTGTGCACAAATAGAAGCACTGTAGGCACTCTCTGACAGACTTAATCACAGGTGCAGGGATATTAATAGCAGCAGCTTCGACTTGATTTGCAGTCAGAGGTTTAGTGTCACACTAACTCGCTGTGATTCAAAGTGTGGAGTCAGCTGAAGTGCGAGGAAGAAGTGTAAAAATATCCGAGTGGGGGGGGGTCATAAAAAGTTGGCAGTACCGGTGTTCACAAGCAGGCGGTGCTGTTGCCTCAGAAAACAACAAGTGAGGAACCCCAAAAAAAACCTCCAACACAAAGTAGATCTTCTGATGCAGGACTTAGGCTGGATTACGTTTGTGTATGGTAAACTCCAGATGAAGAACAGTAAAAGCATTTTCATACTAGCTTGAATCTGCAAGAATCCCAACATTACACACCGCCAGAGGCACTCTCTGTTGGCCTTTTCCCAAGCCGGAATTCCTCACTGAGCGCAGCTTCAGCTTTGGCAGCACTTTAGACACACTCATTCACAGCAGCCCCCCATCCCCCCATCCCCACCCCCACCCCCCTAGGAAGACTCTTCTGCACTGATAGCAGGTAAACACGTCCAACTGAGGTGCAAACAACGAGCCACTCAGACTGTTTTGAATCTAAAGGGATGAGTTCAATTCAACTGCTATAGAGTTAAAAGTATTAAGAGCACAGGTATTTGATGACACATGAAGGACTTTGCATGGTCCCGTAAACCCTCCCTGCAAAGTGTTTACAGTCTGTTAGACACACAGTCGGCCTAACCACGGCATCAATTTGCTTTTGCTCTTCTCCCAAACAGAAAATCAGAAAGCTTCAAGGACAGGGCGATTGGAAAGATGTAGAAAATAAAGTTTTGAAGATGAATACCCTGGTTCTTAACATGTTTCCCTTATACATCTTTCTAGTAAAACATAATGCTATTTGGGACTCATGGTAGAATGTATCTTTAATTGTAACTGTTGACACACTGAGAAAACGTAAGACGACTGCAGGGTTGCATTGCCAGGATCAAATACTCCACATTGACAACAAAACACTACAATCAATTTAATAAGTATTTAGTCATCTCAAAGGATGAACGATGTGTGATGTCATCGTTGATCGTCTCTTGTTTACGGTCACTTCAGTTATTATATATTTGCAAGACTTGCAATATTTGATCTACAAAACCAATATTTCATATTTATACTGTTCATAGAAAGCTTTCTGCAGCATTTACAGTTTTATATTGCGGTATTAAGTTTTAAGGTCTTTTTTTCAGTTGTTTCTATATATTGCTGTATGATGTGTGTACATACACACACTTCTTATTTTGCTGCCGTTGAACAATCACATACTTTCTATGCTTTAATATATGAAATATATATTTTCCACTAAAGAACCAATGAATGAGTGATCAGAGTTAGAGATCGATAAAGTGTATGTGATTCTGATTTTTATTTATTAAGAGTCAAACCAGTAAAAATTACCTTTGTTAAATAACCTGAATTTCTATTTCTATCTTATTTCACAGAGGGACTGAAACCAGGGTTGGAAAGATTGTTGAATGACTTTTACTTTAAAGGTTAAAAAGCTTATCGAGGGGAGTCTGATGGCTCAATGGTGAAGACCTCAACCGTGTTCACAGCCTCCATGGTCCTCTTAGATTCTCTCTTTCCCCCCCATAATGGCCCTTATTATCTTGCTCCTCTACACATCTGTCACTATTCTCATGTATCTTTCGTCTCTCTTTCCTGTTGTGCCTGTACCCACCTGATCCAGCCTCACTAACCTCTCGTCCTGCTCTCCTCCTCATTATCCCCAATTCCACTCATCTCCTTCCATCTCCTCTTCAGCCTCCAGCTACAGTATCTCTCGGTCGCTCTTTTCTTTCCCCTCCAAGTTCCTTATCGCAGCTTCACCTCCCTCCCACTCATTTTCTCAACTCCTTCGCTCCATTCCTTTCTCTCTCCATGTCTGTCTCTGTCTCTCTTGACAATTGTGTGCAGGCGTTGGTGTCTTCACCAAGGACAAATTAACATAATCCCACTCCACACAAGAGGCCGCAAGACAAGCTCTGTACACACACTGGCATGTAGAGGGTCGGACTTGGCACTGCTCCTTTTCTGTGTATTGGTTTGTGTGTGTATTTGTGTGTTTGAAAGCCAGCCTGGGGAGTCATGCTGAACTCACTTGAGAGTTTCACTTTAAAGGAGCTACAGCGGCCTGTGTGGTGTAGGGCAGGCGTACATTTATGTGCACACACATCACTCATACAAGCCTGCACTTCAGCTCCGCTGACACACTGTCAGTCAAGGTGCTATACACGGAGCAGCTGCTCTGAGTAAAAGAAAACCTGAGCAGCAGGTTCATTGAGCATTGATAACTGTTTGCTTCCCTCATGTGGTGAGGGCAGCGAGAGAAATGTAACATGAAGATTTTGCTGAGGACTGGTGGGAATAGAAGTGCCACATTCAGGAACGCTCAGTGGAAATGTTGCATCAGAATACTGAGGAGAAAAACACAATCAGCATCACCACCAACTTTAATTCTAATTTAAAAGAGCTGATTTTCTCAACTGTTTGCTGATGCAAGACAACTGGCTTTGACGAGGGTTGTGGGTCGAGCTGGAGTAGTTTCTTTAGTCTACAGATGTCAGCAATAGTGTTATCTTGAAATCTAGTTTATTCCTGAAAACTATCCGAAACCCCTACATATTTGGAGTTTATAACTATAAAGAAAATCCTTTTATAAGAAGAAGCAACACACTCTCATGTTACCTATTCATTTTCTGTCAATTAAATTATTTATTTCTTAAAGAACACATTTGGTTCCAAATGATACCTGTACAAAGTTGGTAGCTGCAGTTAACCTCAGGCAAAGATCATGAGTAAGAAAAATGATAATAAATCAAATGTAAACTGTAGGAAAAGGACCAATGGTCAAAAAGTTTCCCTGGTCTTCAGCTGTATTCACATGCACGACCTGAACTCTGCATCACACACCTGTTTTACAACACAACCTCCTTCCTTTGTTTTAACATCTGCTACACAGCATGTTTGTGTTGTGTGCTTGCAAGTGTGTGTGAGTCTGGGTGGGCTGTGTGTGGTAAAAAAAAAACAGCCATCATTGAAGGCCAATAAAGCATTTATAGAGGTGTGGAATGGGCCACTGAGAGGCGGAAGGTGAGAAAAGAGCAGCAATGCATTTCCTTACTTTTCTACAAAAAGCCAATTCCTCAAATCTTAATCTCAAAATGCACAGTGGATTTTCAAAGCCTTACTGTATACAGGATGCTTTTAAATCCTATCTTGTGTCCATGTTTTCAGATGTCTCCTCTTCCAGGTGTGACTTGAAAACTTTGCATGTATATAGGGCAGAAAACACTCCCACGCTGTAACTGGATCCGACGTTATAGACGTTAAGATGCTTTCTTGGGTAGTTTGTCCATTTAAATCAAGGGATTGAAAAATATTTGAAGCTCTGTTTCAACATGGTGGAAAAGGTCAATTCCATTATATTTACATTTAAACTTACATGAGGGAAAGAGGGTACAGATGGAGAGAGAGAGAGAGAGAGAGAGAGAGAATGAGAGAAAGCTCCAACCACCTCCTTCATTTCCTGGCCTTGAGCTCCAGAGTTGTCACAGTCCAAATTAGATTGGGGGTACAACACAATTGCGCTAATTTGTGTTTTTCCTCAAATTCACCAAGCAATTTCCTCTGCTGAATAACCCTCATTGACAAAGACATTTTCTCCTCCACTCTGCACTGCAGCCATTCATCCGCAGACCTTAGACGGTTGTTTAGCCTTGGCTATGGGCAACGTGGTGCTTGTTTTGAGCCCTCAAATCTACCCTGAAAATCTATATTAGAGGAGAGGGAGGAATTCAATTATCCGCGCTAACAAAGAGCATCCTCCGCCAAATTGCTGGTTTATGTGTCTGGAAATTGTATAGTAGTTAAGATCTGAGATGTTTTTTAAATATGTGGGTGTGTGCCTCTATACATGCCTAGGTTTCTGCTTTTTTAATTACTCTGTTTCTCCATTTTAGCCCCCCTTTAATTAAATAAAAATGCCAAAAGGAAAAGCATTTAAAACATTCACACCATTTATTAATAGTTTTTTTCTTCTTTCATCTCTTCTCTCTCAGTCCTCATTATTTTCTCTCATGTTTTTTGCACAATGGAGACTTTTCATCCACCGATGCCGCACTCCCTGGTTGCAGAACAGAAACCTATACTGTTCACACACGAGCACAAACACACACGTAAACGCACAACACTTCTTGTGAGTACAGCCTACATTTCAGTTTACGTGAATCCACACACAGAATCATGACATGTGTGCTTAAGAATTGGGGCAGCCTCACTCTGATTTATATCCCAGACCTGACGGTGAACTGCTGCTGCGCTCACAGCTCTGCAAACAAATACAAGGTCAACATGTCTTCTGTGAGAGTGTGTTTTGACTCTGCTTTCTAGCTTCAAGGTTTACACAGATGTTCAGTCAAGCTAAAACTGCATTTAGGAATATCTTGTCACATAAAGCGTGAAGGGAATGTGCCATGTTTTAGGAAATACATATTCATTTTCTAGCCGAGGGAAAGACGAGAATACTTAGAAATGTTACAATGGTATTTTCCAAGACATACCAATACCTTACCAATACCGTTTAAGACCATTTTCTCAAGAGTTCTAGACTATATGCAAAGCTGACTAACAGTTTTGGCTGTAGCTTCATATTTACTGTACAGAAGTGCTAATCTTACTGTAATCCTACTCAGAGCAAGAAAGCGCT